ATAAGCTGCTACTTTAAGTTTCATGCAACAAGCAATCATCAGGCAACATATTAATACGGTTAAGTTGTTGCGTTTTACTACTCGTAATGTTTGCTGACGCGTGTTCGTTTGAATCGTCCCGCGTGGAATCTGCGCGCATGCACGCATTTCATGAAAATTTCGCTACGTTTATTTAAATTAGACCGAGAATTATAACTACGGAGTATTTGCAATTTCTCTTCTAAACATAAATTGCAACTATTTCCACCGGCTTTGATTGAACTTGCTCGGGATAAGATGGACCACTTGATATTAAATTGTTTTCTATTTAGTTTTAGTTTCCAAACATGTTTAGAAAGTTCAGTTTCATTCTCGTATTTAATATCATTTACCTTATCATAATAATAATAATAATATCAAAAATATATATATATAATGATATTATATATATAATGATAATATATATATAATATATATAATATATATATTATATATATAATGATATTATATATATAATGATATTATTATTATTATGATATATATATAATGATATTATATATTTAATATCATTTTACCTTATCATTTACCTTATCATTTACCTTATCATTTACCACCACTGAGTGAATTAAAAACCTTTGAAGACGACCTTGTGAAGCTGGTTCAGAACGTAACTTTTCGAAACATCAACGAACCATTCCTCAACAACATAAAAAATAGGTACGCGACCGCGTACATGTATCTGCGCATTAAAGGTCCAGACACGCTGGACGCGATTCGACAACGCGACGCGATTTTTCGATTTTCACTGACCGTTAAATTTAATCCAAGTTTATATTTTCCAAATATTTAGAAGCGCTATAACATTCTAAGTTACTTGGTCTACATATGTTTGTAACTGATTTGCTCTCATTGGCTGTTTTTCAAACTAATTATACTGAAAAATCGCGTCGCGTTGTCGAAGCGCGTCCGGTGTGTCTGAATCTTAAGGTCTGATTCCACGACGGCGAAATTCGTCGCGAGAGCTTGTGTCTGCGAAATACGGTGGTTGCACATGAGCGATTGTATTGAATTGTCCCACTTTGTCCGCTTTCGCAGTAAGTAGAAATGTTTCGCATTCATTGATGGTGCATTCTCGAAATGACATTTTTACAGCAATTGTGCGAAATTGTGCTAGTTGAAATTATATGCCTGCTTCAGATATAATATTTACATTTAACTAGTGACTTCTATAAAATTAAGAGGACGAGAACCATTTATATCCCGAATCACGGCAACTGATAACAATCATACAAAAATGTTTCTTTTTATCTGGAGCTAAATATCTGCTATTCATACAGTTCATTACTTTTAAGAACAATTTAAAGAAAATAATTAATTAAGGCTGTAAAATGTGTGGATTTATTAAAGACGTGGGATTAGACTTCTGTACATGGAGTCATGAGCTAATAATAGTTTCTGACATTTAAAACAACAGGGCTACGTTTATCCTATGCTTTGTTTTCATAGTTTAGCCTAGTTTCAGAGGCCTCCATTAAATAACAGTCAAGATATATACGCAAATATAATTTGCGTGTCTATTTAAAATTTGTAATTGTTTCGTGAAGATTCAACCATAAAACAATTGCCGGAAATGCAGGTCCTGTTTATAAAAACTCAGGGAAAACCCGTGCGGTATGAAATGCATGGCGTAAACATGTCAATCAAATATCTATAAATATGACGTTTTATAATTGCACAGTACATCGTGTACGTTCTTGTTGTAGAACTTGTGTTGCTCCAAATCGAGTATGAAGTAAAATCAGGAGCATACTGTCACAGGCTAATTTTGTATTTTAATACCTCTGGAAATATCAAGGCTTTGGTACCCCTATCTATCACAAAACTGAGTAACAAATCCAAAACGAAGTATGAGGACTAATATTTTTATATATATCATTTCACAGATTAAAAGTATTATTCAAGAAATATGTCCATTTTGATCTTAACGTGATACAAAAATACTAAATAACATGCAAAATTCAGTGCCAAAGAGGGATTTATTTTGCGGTAGTTAAATATGTAAACATATGTTCTCAAACTGGCAGAGTTTAATACCAATTAAAGCTCGCAATGCTATATATTTGGTTTGATACGAAGATAAAATAGTAAATACTCATAATAATTACAATATGTCCATGACCTTACTCAAAAATTTAGATTATTAAATCACATAATGGAACAACTTGCAATTTGCTACGCTCACTCGTTAGCAATAGTTCTCTTCAACACTCGAAATAAATTACATATTTCCGCACAACCATGTATAAATATCCTCTATACATTCCAGTTTACCTTTAATTTGTCAAGTGGTAGGCACAATATTAGTCCTTTTGATTTGTTATTCCCTTTCCCCAACACGGGAGTGATAGGAGCTTGAAAAAATGACAGTTGAATACTTGCGTGTAATTTGCTCGGAGCAATTTGCAATCAACATTGCAAGATTGATTGCAATGTTGCAATACTCATGGGAACAGAACATCCGGTTTGACTGTAAGAGTTATATCAAAAAGACTGCTATAGAAGAAGATTTTATCAAAATAAAGTCAGGATAAAGTCTATTAATAGTTTAATACCACGATTACTAATGATTACTACTCTTGAAAGCTTTTCGAAAGACGCCATCTTGTTTTAAAGCTGTTCTAGCCTGCGAACAGGCCTTCAAAACAAGGTTGACGGACTTAACAACTTAACTTAACTTACTTAACTTAACTTTACTTTACTTTACTTTACTTTACTTTACTGACTGACGCGATAGCAATATATCTGCGCTACGCGCAGATACAAAAATGATTTAAATAATATGAATTCTTCAAAGAACGTGTACGTATTTGCAGACAAAACAAAGAACATCTACGAAGTTCCACCAACCGAATATAACAAAATATTAACTGAGAACATAACGAAATCTTATAAACTAGCACATGACCGGATAACCGACGATATTAACCAGGAACTGTGCGAAATTTCTTCCAACTTGAATATTGGTAACCGAGTCCACGTAATGGCCGAAACTGAAGCTTTCATTACGCTGAAAGACCATAAGGACAACTTCGAATCGAACCCCAAATGCCGATTAATCAACCCAGCCAAAAGCGAACTTGGTAAAGTAAGCAAAGTTATACTGGATTCCATCAATCAAGAAATCAGATCAACCACCAACGCAAACCAATGGAGAAATTCGCAATCTGTAATCAACTGGTTCAAAGACATCGAACACAAATCTCAGTATAACTTTGTTTCTTTTGATATCGTCGACTACTACCCTTCCATCAGTGAAGAACTCCTCGATAAAGCCATCGCTTGGGCCAAAACTATTGTTAATATTACTGACAAACATGTTTCAATCATCAAACACGCCCGCAGATCCGTTTTATTCAATTCCACCAAACCATGGATAAAACGAAACAGTCCTACAACATTTGACGTCACCATGGGCAGCTTTGACGGTGCGGAAATTTGCGAACTTGTTGGTTTGTATGCATTAAACAAACTAAGCGCGAGAATTGACAGCAATAACATCGGATTGTACAGAGATGACGGATTAGCCTTGATCAAAGGTACCAGTCCACGACTAGCAGATAAAGCAAGAAAAGACCTGTGTTATGCATTCCAGGAATTGGGACTGAAGATCACTGCCGAGGTAAACTACAAAACTGTTAACTTCCTCGATGTTACGCTTAATCTTACTAATGAGTCATACAAGCCCTACAGAAAACCAAATAACGACCCACTGTACATTCACAAAGAATCCAACCATCCACCATCAATCACCAAACAACTCCCAGCAGCAATCAACCGCAGAATCGCGTCATTATCATCCGACAAAAAAAAACTTTGATTCTGTTGCTTCCGCTTACGACTACGCCCTGAAGCAGAGTAATTACAACACCAAACTTCAATACTCAACTGCTGAAACAACGTCTACAACCGAAAGTCGATCGCAAAACGAGAAACATAAACGCACAAGAAGAATTATCTGGTTCAACCCGCCGTATAGTAAAAACGTACGAACCAATGTCGCCCGAGATTTCTTGAAATTAATCGACAAACATTTTCCCAAAACATCACCCCTTCATAAGATCTTCAACCGAAACACGATTAAAGTTAGCTATAGCTGTATGAATAATGTAAAGAGCGTCATATCGAGACATAACAAACGCGTATTGAGAGAATCTAAATCCGAAGAATCTACCAACGATAACAACATTGAAAAACTTTGTAACTGCAGAAATGTAAACGAATGCCCGCTTAACAACATGTGCTTGACGAAAGATTTAGTTTATCAAGCCGAGGTAAAAACGAAAGACAACAACGATATAAAATCCTACATTGGTATGACAGCGACAACATTTAAGGAGAGATACAGAAATCACAAGAAATCATTCAATGATATTAAATACGAGAATGAAACTGAACTTTCTAAACATGTTTGGAAACTAAAACTAAATAGAAAACAATTTAATATCAAGTGGTCCATCTTATCCCGAGCAAGTTCAATCAAAGCCGGTGGAAATAGTTGCAATTTATGTTTAGAAGAGAAATTGCAAATACTCCGTAGTTATAATTCTCGGTCTAATTTAAATAAACGTAGCGAAATTTTCATGAAATGCGTGCATGCGCGCAGATTCCACGCGGGACGATTCAACCGAACACGCGTCAGCAAACATTGCGAGTAGTAAAACGCAACAACTTAACCGTATTAATATGTTGCCTGATGATTGCTTGTTGCATGAAACTTAAAGTAGCAACTTATTCAATTGTGAAATTGTATTAAAATATTAAATTATTATATGCTCTACAAATGTCTTGTATTGAGCACTCTTTATTCTTAAAAACGAGAAATTACTTTATGAAATTATATATATATATATATATATATATATATATATATATATATATATATATATATATATATATATATATATATATATATATATATAATTTAAACACGAGTAGGAGTGTTTTATCAGATATATAACGCGAGGCGCAGCCGAGCGTTATATATCTGATAAAACACGACAACGAGTGTTTTGAATAGCTTAAAATACGACTACTAAAGAATACTAATTAGGATGAACCATAGTATAATCATGCTAATTAAGATGAACAATAATTATATAATGCCACATGTGTTTTATCAGATATAAAGTCATCCCACGTGGCATATTATGGCTGATATGATTTGCCACAAGGTTTATGAATTATTAATTAGTATTTTATATATATATATATATATATATATATATATATATATATATATATATATATATATATATATATATATATATATATATATATATATATATATATATATTGAATTGTGTAATTGTACACTCCGTAATATGTTAAGGTGAAAATGTTCTAGAGTGTGTTATATACTTAACTTTCCATCTGACCGCCAATAGGCAATTCCAGCTTTTAGTTTATGCGTGCAGGGGCGATGGGAAGTAAGGTATCATATTGCTGATTATGCTGAAAAAATAAAAATGGCGACCGTGTAAACACGGAGTGACAGCTTGTACTTGTAAGTATTGAAATATTTCGGTTGTTTCGGCATGTTTTATTGAAATTTTTCAGTATTAATCAGCAATATGATACCTTACTTCCCGTCATCCCCTACGCGCATAATTTAAAAGCTGGAATTGCCTACTGTTTTTAAGAATACCCTAAGAATCTCCAATGCTCGACCAGCCCTGGGATAAAGTTAAAATCGAGCTCCATGGTCCACTTTCAACAGGACAATACATATCGATTTTCAGAAGTTGAAATATTAACCACCGTATCAGCTCAAAAGGTGATCCCAAA